GGGGAACGAGGCCATCGGTGCGTTTCACTCCTGTGTCCCTGACCAGCTCTAAGCCGGGTGGAGGTGGGGACACAGCAGTGACCACAGCCCTCGGGGAGACAGACCTGACGCAAGCCCAGGGGGTCAGGACTGGGTGGGGAGGCAGTGGGAGGGCAGCACCTGCTTCCTCCAAGGCCCCACAGAGGGCAGTCGGGGTGACTTTCCTGGGACAGCACAGGATGTCTGAGCTGAGACCCGAGCAGGCAAGGCCCACGATCAAGGTGGGGAGGGGACAGGTGCTCTGGGGAAGGGAAATAAGGCCCCTGGGATTCAAGCTGACCCTGGGAGGGAGGGCAGGGGGCTACACTCTCAGCCGTTCTGGGCCTCAGTTTGCCAGGCCAGTTCAGGCGCAGCCATGTGGCCAGCCTGTCCCAGCACTGCCCAGGGCGGGGGAGGGGGCGGCCGGCTCGGGCTCATGGCTCTCACCTCTTTGCTCCCCTCACTGCTCCCAGGATCTGTGTGAGGTAGGGTCCCACGTCTCCCACCTGCCCTTCCCTCCCTGTGTCTCATCCCCCTGCAGCCTCCTCTCCCTATTCCAGGCCCCCCTGGGTCCCTCAGGGATGTGGCCTAGGGTGGTGGTCAAGGGCATAGGTATAGCCAGGCCTGGTTTTGAACCCCAACTGTTTAACTACATACTGTGCATCCCTAAGCCTGTCTCTTACCCTCTCTGAACCTCAGTTTCATCCTCTGAAAAGATGGAGGTGTAGTCTTAGGCCCCCTTCAAGGTGTGGTTGGTGGAGGGGTGTCCAGAGCTCAGTGCCTGACTTTTGGGCACTGACCTCTGACCCCTCCCCCAGCCTCATTGTCCTCATCGCCCTCAATGCCCTCCTCTTTTACCGCCTCTGGTCCCTGGAGAGGACGGCCCACACCTTTGAGTCGTGGCACAGCCTGGCCCTGGCCAAAGGGTAAGCGGGCAGTGTGAGGATGCTGGGCAGCTGGGCAAGTTGGGGAGGCCGGGGCTGTGCTCAGGCCTCTGTCCCTGCAGCAAGTTCCCTCAGACGGCCACCGAGTGGGCGGAGATCCTGGCCCTGCAGAAGCAGTTCCATAGCGTGGAGGTGCACAAGTGGAGGCGGATCCTGCGGGCGTCCGTGGAGCTCCTGGATGAGGTAGGGCTTCGCTCCCCCAGTGGGGGAGGGGGGGCCAGGTGGGGCTGTGGGGCCAGATGCCCTCCCCTCCCTGGGCCTGAGTTTCTTCCTCTGCAAAATGAGGAAGCCATTCCTAGTCTCCACCTCACAGAGTCGCTGGAAGCGTCTGTGGGATGGAGAAGGAATTTATTGGTTATTATCCTGGAAAAAAGTCCAGGGGGCTCCCTTCAGGCATGGCTAGATCCAGTCCCTCGATAGTAATAAGAATCCATCTCAGAGCCTCTATTGACTGTGCCGATGCTCAGGGTTGGCTTTGTTTGGGGCGTTTCCTTTGCTGCAGGATGATCAAGGTGATACCTGCCACTCCAGTGGAGAGTTCACTCTCATTGGCTGCTGGGGTTATGGACCCACCCCCAAAACAATCACTGCAGCCAGGGCTGGGCTAGATTCCGGCCTGTTTCTCTTGCTCCCTTCTGGCAAAAGGGGTCATAGCGTCTGCAGGCAGGTGAGAGGTTCTCCAAAAAGGGAGTTGACCCAAGTCCCCACGTGGTGCAAGGCAGGATCCAAATTCTACTGTGTGATCTTGTGCAAGTGTCTTTACTTTGAGCCTTGATCACATAATCCATGTCACCTCTTGTGAGGATGGAGTGGGTTAACATTTGGAATAATGCTGGGCCAAAAGTCAGCACTTCATAGGTGTGTGCTGTCAGTCATGCAAGCTGAGCACCAGGCGCACAGTAGGAGTCTAATCAGCATGCCCTCCCCACGTGGTGAGGATGCCCCCCAGCATACCTGGCCCCAGTGGACTCCAGCAGGCAGCTGTGGTGGGTCAGGGCAAATGTGGGGTCCTGGGGTAGGTGCCCTCAGTGTGTGTGAGGGGGTGATGGGAAACAGAGAGGGTTCTGAGGTGATCAGAGCCAAAATTGCCAGTCTATCACCCTTGTTGCACCCTGAAATCATGCTCCCAAGAGATGCCCCCAAGGCTGTGCAGGACATGATGGGGAAGAAATTAAGGCTCAAAGAGAAGGAGGGCAGAACTCTTCCATTCTGCATTAAATCTTTGATGATTTTTCTCTCTCAAATTGCCGTTGAGTACAGAGTTGACTTTGAAGATTGATTGTAGCGGCAGATACAGGCGGAGCACTTGCCCAGGCGGGGCTCCCCTGGGTGCTGAGCGCGGGTGACACTCCTGGCCAGCCTGGTAGGGATGCTCTAGTTTCCCCTCTGGTAGCGAGTTAGGAGGTACGCAGCATCCTGGGGTTCAGGGGGTCAGGAGCTTGCCCAAGGTCACAGGGGAAAGAATCATCCTTAACATACCTTCGGCACTTCCTGTGGGCCAGGTTCCGGTGTTCATCCTGTCCCTGAAATCGTCCCATGAAACAGGGACAACACTGACCCACATTTCAGATGAGGGACGTGGGCCCAGGGCAGTAACAGCAAAGCCGAGATGGAACCCCAGGCCACCTGACCTCACGCTCACTCTGAGACCATCCTCTGCTGCCTCAGAGAAGTTAAAACGGGGTGCAGCGTGGCTTTAGTGGCCTGTGTTGGATAGGGGCGTGGCCTCCCGGCCGCAGGACGGGGTTGACATCACCCTCTCAGTGCTCACCTGCTCTGCCCCCTCCTGGCAGATGAAGTTCTCGCTGGAGAAGCTACACCAAGGGATCACAGTCTCGGACCCGCCCTTTGACACCCAGCCACAGCCACGGTCTGATGACAGCTTCTCCTGAGGGCACCCGGCCACACAGCTGTCCCCTCAAATGGACAGAAGGACACAAAGAGCCCCGGTGGCCACTGCTGGCACGGTGTGAGCGCCGGGAACCTCCCGCCTGCCCCTCCCAGTGGCCCTGCCGAGGGCCATGCGGATGTGGGGACCACAGAGCAAGATGCACTTTAGACCAGCGTGTGCAAGCCCAACCGCCATCGCCTGCCCGGCCAGGGAGCTGGTCTGGCCTTTGGCGGCCCCGCACTAACTTATTTTGCCTGGCTGGGGTTATGGGGGTACCCCCTGGGGTGCACGATTTCCTCAGCTCTGGGTTTAATGTATTATATTTATTTGGGGCTGACAGAGTTCCAATAAAGGGTTGGAAGTAGCTGTGCCTGTGCCTGGAGGGTCCCGGAACAGGTGGGGGCTTCCCGTCGCACTCGGATCCCACTGTGGTGGGGAGGCCATTTCCTGGGGCAGCAGGTGCTAAAGTCATTGAGGATCCCCCCTCTCCAGCAGCTTACACCAGCTCTGCACCATCCAAGGATAGACTCATCCCCGTGTCTGGGCTCAGCTATTGCCTCTTAGCAGTCCTGTCCCCTGGAGCAGGTCAATGACTTTGAACGTGTTTCCTCTTTGTAAAGTGGGCATAATAACAGCACCTTTCTCTTAGGATTGTTAGAAGTTATCGGATCTCAGATTTAACCACAGGGGAATCTCCTGGAGAGCTGCTACAGAATACGGGTTTCGGACTCAGTGGGTCCCGGAGGCCTGAGCTGCGGTTCTAACACTCCCAAGGTGAGGCTGACAGTGGTCCTCCAGGGACCACACCTTGAGAACCGCTATTATGAGAACCCAAAGAGTTAATCCATGTTATTACAGGCCCTGGCACAGAGTAAGTGTTCAATGAACGTTATGCTTATTGCAGAAAAGTTGAGAGGAAAAAAAGGAATACCAGATATGCACCATGCTCTGTGCTGAGATTGGATGTTCATTTTACTCTCACAGTGACTCCTTGAGGTAGAGGCAAATAAAGATTTACAGTATCTGAGGCCACCTGGCAGGGAGACAGACTCCACGCCTGGCCTCTAGAATCCCCGCATTTACATGCCAGGTTCTGACCTCCTTTAGGATCCCCCAGCAGCCCACCCAGGTGGAGGTTGTTTGGACCCCTGTTTTATAGCTAGGAAAATGGACTTAGAGGCACAGTCTCCTGTGCAGTTAGAACCAGATCCACTCATCAGACCCTGTTCTGGTTTCAGACTGAGGAAGCCCTTGAGAGATCTTTGGCATGCCCTTGCAGAACTGGGGATTAAACCCGGGGCCTTGCACATGCTAAGCAAGCACTCTACCAACTCCAAGAATCATCTTAATCGAAAACTTGGAGCAGGAGACTGGAGGAGGTGATTCGCAAGTTGCAACAGGCGGTCAGCCTTTCTGTCTTCTAGTGCTATAATTATGGCCAGTCAGCCACTCTGTACCTCAGTTTCCGACACCTGTAAACTGGGCATAATGACATACCCACCTTGTAGGAAGAATTAATAGGAAAGTGCTGAGGTCAGCGTCGAGCCCATAGCAGATGAACAACAGCTTACAAGGCTTTTAGGAGGTGCCCTTGTCCTTTGATAAAGACTGTCCTTACTGTGCCTCTACCTACCATCCCCCACAGAGGAAGAACCTAGTGAACAGCAGGAGGGTTATTTTCTGCTGGGGAATTTCACAGCTCAGGGGAGACTGGCGTAAAAGCCCAGACCACAAAGGTGTCGGGTATCCCTGGCTTCCTGCCCCTCTGCTCTGGACCTGCCCCGCACCCTGCTTCCTCTTTCCCCTACAAAGCTGGACCAGGGGAATTCTGGGACTCTGCTCCAATGGGAACTGGAAGGTAGGACCTGGGAAGCTACCTGTCATCAAGAGTCTCACTCCCACCATGACCCAGAGCCCCACCCTTGTCCTCTCTGTTTGGCAAAACTACTAGTAGCACAAGCCACCCATCCTAATAGCCCAGGCTGCCCATCATTGCCAGGGCAGCTTTCCAGGTCCGCTTTAGGCCAGCTACATGATGACCCTGGGCAAGGGAGTGAACCTTCCCCAGCCTCAATTTCCTCATTTTGTAAATGGGGGTGATAGAACTTGCTGCAAAAGTTTGGGGAGGCAAAAGTGGGTTCAGTGAATTGGAAGGGTTAAATAAGCACTGGTGTTTATTCATGTGACAGATAATGAGTACCTACAATGTACAGTTCAAAGTGCTGGAGATGGTCCTCACTCTGGGGAATCTTCCATTACAGGGTTGGAGGGACAGATAGCGAACAGATCAACTGTATAAAAGCATAGGTAGAGACACTGAGGAGAAAAAAGAGTAAAGAAGGTCAAGTAGAGAGACGTTTACCTTGAACAAGATACAGAAGACTTGAGAAGCTTCAGGAGGTGAGGGACTGAGCCCTTTAATCACCTGGGGAGTGTTTCCGTCCAGGCAGAGGGAAGAACTAGGGCAAAGGCAGGAAGGAGCTCTGCTGTGCTGGGGTGAGAGGGGACCTGGATTGCCGAATGGAGTGGGAGGAGAGAGGGGTAGATGACGTCAGAGACTTTTAAAGAGAGGGGCGAGGGATCATGAGAATGGCCCTCCAAAAAAAAAAAAAAAAAAACCCAAAAAACAAAAGGGCACCTCCAAACCCCCAAGTCTCTTTTCCGTGTTGGACGCCAGGGTGCCCCCGGTTTGGACTCCAGGGTGCCCTTCCAGTATATTATTTGTAGCCCTACCCTGAACTCCGCCCCCATGTCCACTTGGGTCCCTCCATGGTGACTTGCAGGCCTGGATATCAGGAACCTCAGGGCCAGGTCACTTGGATGATCCAGCCACAACCCCCTCGAACTCATGAGGATGACCTCCATCCATATTTTGGAGAGCCCGTCCGTTCCCCAAACTGCCCGCTAAGTCCTCTTGTGTGTCCGGAGGTGACCTTTCTCAGACTCGGAAGATGAGGGATCCCCAGAGTCGGGCGGGGTCTCAGACACACAGACCACCGTCCCCGCGCCCAGAAGCTGCGTTCCCTGCGCCACCGGAGAGGCCA